ATGGGGGACAAGGTGGGGATCTGCCAAGTAAGTTCAGGGCAGGAGGAAAGATGGAGTGAGAACTTTTTAGAGGGACACGTCTTTGGACGGTGTTCAGGCCGCCCACAAGAGCTAGCGTTTCCTCCAAGGTGTGCAGCTGGATTGGGTTGTGCACCAGAGCCACTGAAATGTCCGTCTCTGGGTGAACCCCTCGCTTAGGGAGCGGGCGATGGGCTGCCCCAGCGAGGGTGACTGTGGGGGAAGGAGGAGCCGTTTCTTTTCCTTCCCGGTTCTGGCTTTACAGGCCTGGCTCTGTGACCTTTGGTCTCTCACGACTGTCCCTAAAAGTGAGGAGCCGGGGTGCTCGCTTCGGCAGCACGTATACTAACATTGGGACGACAGAGAAGATCAGCATGGCCCCTGTGCAAGGATGACACGCAAATTCGTGAAGTGTTCCATATTTTTTTTTAAAAAGTGAAGAGCAGGGAAGCCATTCTTTTCTGGGCTGTCTCGCCCAGGGGTTCTTAAATTTGAGCAATCAGAACACCCCCACCACCCCCAGATCTTCTTAGAACAGAGTGGGGGGCGGGCAACCCCAGAGATTCTGATTCTGTGGGTCTGGGGTCGGGCCCAAGACTTGGTATTTCTAACAAGTTCCGAGGTGATGTCACCATGCGGCGGCCGGGGCCCCACTGAGCGGCACTGCCTGTCCCCTCTGCCCGCTGGCCCCTTTCCTGCAGGAGGGGCCGGGGGTGGGGGGAGCCTCTCCTGTCTGCTTCCTCCTTTCCCCTCGGCCAGGGCCTGGCCCACCCCCGCTGAGCACGCTCTTCCCTTCTCTATAGTCTCCCTCGCTCATTGGCCTGCGGCAGTGTGGCGGGCGGTGTTCTTACCTTTGCTTCCCCAGCAGAGGAGCAGGAGGCTGCCTGTGTCCCTGCCCAGAGGCCCTGCTCAGAGACCCTGCCCAGGTACAGCCAAAGGTGGTGGTGACGGCGGTGTGTGTGTGTGTAGGGTGGCGGGGGGAGGGGGGAGCCCCAGCCCTCGGGCGCACCCCGAGGCTAGAGTCTGGATCCGCAGAGCCGGATCTCAAACTTCACTTTCCAGATCTTTATTTGGAGGCTGGAGCGCCCTCCCGTGGGCAGCGGAAGCGCAACCCCATTCGTACCACTGTGTCCACGGGCTGGTGGACCCGAGGGTTGTGCTCAGGGCACCGCGCCCCTTCCCACGCCCACGCGCCCCACCCGGAGCCCCAGGGCGTTCCCCTGGGAGGCTGCCGGCGAAATGCATGCGCCCCATCGACACAGACACAAACACTGCTTCCCTTACTGCCGCCATCCTCGCCACCGAAATCATGTCCTGCGGGGCCGAGAGCGCACCCCAGGGAGCAACTCCAAGTAAAATGGGGGGGGGGGTGGCGGGGGGCAGAGAGTGGGAGCCATTAGACGGCGCTGAGCGCTGACAGCGGGCAGGCCACGCTGACCGCGGCACCAGGGCGGCCCGGGGAGGCGGACTCGGGCCGAGGTCAGTGGAGCGAGGAGGAAGCCCGGGGAGAGGGCCCCGCTCGGCGCAGCCAGGACCGTCCTCACGGCCCCGCTCCCGGGGCGGCCCGTCTTCCTCCCCGAGGTCACGGAGCCTCCCGCCAGCGCCCTCATCCTGCGCCCCCCGGGAGCATGGAGGCTCCTGTCGCCCCATCTAGTGCCATCGGGCCCCTCCCCGCCGGGCGGGCGGGCCGTGGGCG